CGTATCGTAATGTATCATATTGTACTGTACTCACCAAGATTCGTACGCTGCTGCATTTGCCTGCCGTACGAAATTTAAATATTTTACAATTTTGTCGTATCGCTATCGCCATCGTAAGATCGAAATATCGTAAGTCGAACCATCGTAACTCGGGGACTATCTGTAGTCTGTTCTATAACGCGTGTTTTCACAAACGCAAATTTGACATAATGTGATTAATGATTAGGGAACACGTTTTTATAACACGGATGCGAATTGGATATAATGAGGTTGAGCGAATGAAACTACGTCACGCGAGTAGGAACAAGCGGTTGTAGGGCTGCCTCGGCGTAGCATCACACAGGGTGGGATGCTGCTGGATGCTGCTACCTGCCTAGCTTCCTCGCGCCTCTGGACCGTGCGGTCTCTTCGAGGGCGAGCGAGCACTGTGAAGGTGAAATGATGGTGCCGCTCAGATAACCCTGAGCCGGCGGGGCTTGGTGCGGACCTGTTCTGGGCCGTGATGGACTCGCGCTGTGGGTAGGAGTCCGCGTACACGGCCTTGCCGGCGCCACGCTGGCTCAGACCTTCCTCCGTCAGCGCCAGGGAGCCAATGCTGCATGGCTGCGCACAGCAAAGGTTGGCGGGCGAGAATGACACGGCTCAGTCACGTGCACAGACAGGACAACGGGGCGGCACTGTCATCACGTAGGGGTCTCCCGTCGCTCTCTGCGCGGTCGTAGTCGATGCGTTCCAGGAGTGTGCTCCTAATCTCAGCTCGTTACCTGTATAAAAGACACCTGGGAGCCAGAAATCTTTCTGATTGAGAGGGGGTCAAATACTTATTTTCCTCATTAAAATGCAAATCAATTTATAACATTTTTGACATGCGTTTTTCTGGATTTTGTTGTTATTCTGTCTCTCACTGTTCAAATAAACCTACCATTAAAATTATAGACTGACCATTTCTTTGTCAGTGGGCAAACGTACAAAATCAGCAGGGAATCAAATATTTTTTTCCCTCACTGTATAGCAACAATCGCCTGAAAACGTGGCAGGACCAATCCTGAAAAAAATCGTCTTGAGACTCGGTGAGGGTCTCCCAGGTAAACAAGCGGAACAAGAATAACAATACATTAAAAAAACTAGCAGGAATCCGCGAAACTTGGCCGATAAAACGATGGCGAATACGTATGCTTTATCATCACCACTTCCTTCCCTGCACCTCACCAGCATCGTGTAGCGTCATAGCCCGTCCTACCTCCTCACCACTCACGGCGTCTCTTGACGTCATCGCTCCCTCTGTCATGCACCTCACCCGTTGTCGGGTGATGTCATCACCCCCCCCTGCGTCTGGTGACGTCACGCCCTCTCCTCACCAACGCACCCTAATCCAGCGTGACGGCCTCACCCCTCAACTCCAACTCAGCAGTGATGCGTGACGTCATCGCCTCTTCCGACCCTTCAACGTCCCGTGACGTCATTACCCCCAACCCCACCCCCTCCCAACATCACCCCAATCTGGCGTGACGACGTCGCTGCTCCTCTCCCCAACAGCCCAGGGTCGCTGAGGTCATCAGCCCCTCCCCTATCAACCCCTCCACCTCAGCAGCGTGGCTAACCCCCACCCCCACCCCCCACCTGTGTTACAGACAGACAGACAAACAAGCGCGTGACCTCGAACGCAAGGGGCAGAGGGCAGAGGCTCCCGCTGTGCAGAGCCCTGCCGGAACGGAGTGGAGCTGACCTGACGCCCTGATTAACTATTATTTCACCTTACCTCGTGGTAAATGGACGACTTGGACAGAGAAGGCACGGTAAATGACAGAACTTTCGGCTTTCCTTCATCATCCACCGTCTCCTACAACAACAAAAGTACAGCGGTCCCGCGGTTAATGGTGACAACGTTTAACAGTTTTTTCAGGTTAACGATTCGCCTCCCATAGTGACCCCATGGTTTCGCCTGACGTTGACATTCTGATTAACATTGTGTCTACGTTATGCACGCGGGAGACAATTTGGGCAATCCGAGCACTCGTAAGTTGAGCTGAACCATGTCCTCGGACAATCAGTGACGCCCATTTATGAGCGTTGAGACCCCGACTGCCTTTGTTTACATTACGTTTTCTGTTTCGGCAATGAAAATCGGCTCTCTCTTCGATTAACAGTTATTTCGCTTCGCAGTATTTTTCGTGGAACGGATTAAAAAACGTTAACCGAGGTGACTACTGTACATATTTAGATGCGCTCATGTAGATTAACGAATGAATAAAAATGCAATACATGTCATTTATCGTAACAATTGTTAAATCCACTATTTTCAATGTACCTTATGTACGCACTTTTAGGTGTACATTGATAACTTCATGCCCATTCCGTCACAGCCAAGAACCAGTAAGCAAATTTTGAGATACACCTGAGAGCTAGTTTGCTCCAACTGATATTCGTAACACCTGTGCCTCACCGCAAGAAGGGCCTGGGTTTGATTCTCGACTTGGGTGCCTCTCTGTGAAGAGTTTGTATTCTCTACTCGTTCTGCATGGCTTCTTCCAGCTTCTCCATTTTTCTCTCATAGCTTTAAGAAATAGCAGGGCTATTGTTGCCTGAAACGTCAGCTTAAGTCGACTATCGTTGCTCCGACTACGCTCGTTTACCCAGGAGAGCCTCACTGAGTCTCAAGACTCTTTTTCAGGATGGACCTGCCAAGTTTTTCCAGTAGTGATGTTGCTGCTGCTGTGTTTAATCCCAAATGAGTCAATGGTAGGAATGTTGTCAGCATTGTGATGTTTTGGCCAATGCCAGTTCGATTGTGCGTTTTTGTTTTCATTTACTATGGAAGCAACCCGGGGAAAACCAGACAGAATAGCGCCCGAGTCGGGAATCGAACCCAAGCTCCCCTCTTGCCACTGCGCCACCCGCGCTGAACCAAGCGAGACAGCATGGCGAGGAGGGCGGCGGGCTGTGGGGTATCATCATCATCATCACCAGGTTGTAGATGCCCAGGAGCAGGGCCTCCACGCTCCCCTGGCTGGGCTTGTCCCTCCGGGCCACGGCCGACAGGTGGCGCCAGATGAGCTCCGGCACGAACTGCAACGCGAACCTGTGCAGGGCGGCCTCGCCGCTTCGGATGAACTCGAACAGCTGGTGGCAGATGGGCTCCAGCAGCTACGAGACACAGAGTCGTTCGTCAGAGAAATAATATTGCGCTGATGTGTTTATCCAGGAAGTCCGCACTTAGTCTCAAGACTCTTTTCAAATTGGCTCCTGCGTTTGGACCTTTGCCTAATGCCACTTCAGTTGTGTTGCGTCTGCAGATGATGCTCACGAGTCCATGCCAAAATTACAAGGAAACTATAAAAATCCAGACGGTGGTGAAATTTAATATTTCGTGGTGCCGGGTTGGGAGGGGGGGGTCTCTGGGTTCGTATTCTGGTAGTGTTTTAGACGCAAAGTGATTCACACGTCGTCTTGTACGCCAACCTAACCGGGTGACGTAAGGATTGGGGCCAACAGCAGCTTGCATTTTACCATGGGCATTGGTGGCAGCGTGCACACAGAGAGGAGATGCGTCGGCTTGGGCACGTGGCTGGACGTGGCTGCGGACGCTCACCTCTGTGCCCATGTCGCGCATGGCGCTGTACAGCGCTGGCACGACGCTCGCCTTCTCCTGCACCCTCTCGGCATATGCCGCCACCGCCACCTCCGGCAGCCCCTACACAACACAAAATCCATCAGCACCCAGCCACAAAGACAAAGATGCCCTGCATAGCCAAAACAGACTTTTGGGGCAAGTGCTGTTCGCAAGTAGCGCCTATGAAGGTCGGCATAGTACATGAAGGGGTGGATGGCCAGCACCACGCCTTTGTCTCCCCAGTGAAGATGTTTACACCTCGTACCAGGTACTAATTTGAGGCTGAGTCAACCTAGGGGAGGCCCAGGAGCTGTTCAGTTATTTGTCACTGGTGTTGGCCATGAGTGGGAAACGAACTCGAGTCACTGGGTTCGTAGCGCTACACTTCGAGCCACAACAACAACAACCGCCATTTACCACTAAGTGGCGGTGACATCACCACGACGCTTGTGCCAGGCTATGTGCACGTTGAGGCCACGTGAAGTGTCGAACGCCCACTGGCAGGAGGTCACGGGGCAGACCCAGGTGCCACTGGCCAACTGCCTGAGATGACTGGCTGATGCACCACATTGTGCCCCATACTGTGCCAACTTTCTGTGCTTTAGCCACCCGGCGCTCCACTCGTTGTTGTGAGCGTCGCTCCTCTGCCCTCCAACTGCCCAGTAGCGTCTTTCACGAGTCTCCTCCACAGAGGCCGATCTTGACACCGCTGGTACCAGTCATCGGCAAGTCCACTCAGCTCCACAGCCTCCAGTACCACATCACTCCATTTCTTCTCGAGCCCATACCGCGCCTGTTTAGCCCCCTCTATCCGGCCGAACAAAAGCTGTTTAGACATGCGGTGGCTGGACATGCTCCTGGTCACGTAGTTTTACCCGCGCCCGCTCACCATCATGAAGGTCCTTAATGATCGTGAGCAGAGGGTCAGGGACTCCGAAAGCACGAAGAATAACCATCAACACTCAGCCACACACAAGCCCATCAGTCCTCTGAGACATATTAATTCCCAATGAAGAGATATTATACAATCGCGATTGTCTGTAATGGACACAAGTTAATAGAGTCAATTGAATGCTTCAACATTTTATGAAGCATTCAAGTCTGCAAATGAGACCTATCCCACCTGAAACAAAATAAACTTGACAGCTGAAGGAACCTCGCTCCATCATCATTATGCCCAGCTGAGTCGTTCACTACCAAGGAGTTAACGCGAGGATCTACAGAATTACATTTGAATGCTCAAGTTCACACGAAAAAGTAATTCTCCAAGATCTGTGCAGTGAGATAATGCAACTTGCTGAGCAACATATGCAGCCAGCTACGCTCAATCGCTCACTCGTTCGCTCACTCCTACTTCAGCGGTAAAAAAATCCCGAGGCAGGAGCCTGGCATGAAGTCACGCTTGTGACTATGGGACGAGAAGGGTCACGTCAAATCTTTTCTACTTTCAACACTGCAGTAGCTCACTTGACAGCGAACATGAATGTCGCGATTGTTATTTGCAATATTTATTGACGTTCGCTTAGTGTTGACATCAGTTGTATATTTGCGTATAAACATCGTATAATTGTGGCCACAACTATTGCGTGTTTATACGCATTCGTGGTGGTAGACTTGAGTTGTTTGTTAGGGTTCACGTATGTCCATGGAGCCGTAAAAAACACGTGTTTTTTCCCCATACTTTCCCCAACATCGTTGTTTGCTACACTGCATTTGAACGAGCAGAAATGTACGACTGATGCTTGCGTGTGCCGGTGTTTACAAAGGGCACGTAACGCAGAGAACAATTGCCTTTGGAGATGTTTTATTTTCTCCAGTTTAAACTACACAAATATTTACGAAAAGGAAGAACACGTGAGAAGGCATTTGCTGAGGAAGTCAAACAAGGCAAAGCCTCCAAAAGGACCCATTTCCTCTTCCCAGCTTGTGAGGTTTTGACATGTGGAATTCACCTGTGCTCAGCATTCCCAGCCCTTTGTTTAACCGGGGTGAGAACTCAAGAGACAAAGGGATCAGAGTCTCGTTTGCAGTGGTGACCTGCACACAAGTGGAGGCCTTGCATAACTTTTCCCTGCATGGGACCGGCCTGACATTCCAACGGCACCCACGCATCCAAATGCAGTGCAGCAACCAAAATGGTAGGAAAAGCATTGGGAACAAAACCACGTAATGACCCTGGCACTTAGTGGCGCCACGAACGTGCGTGAACTGGAGCAAACGTCACACACCAGTCCGGCACCCACGAATGCGATTTAAACACGCGACACAATGTGCCCAATTACACGACGTTTACACCACACAAATGTGCAGCCTCCGATCACCTCCAGGTGGCGCTCACCCACAAGATGTTTTATTTTCCAAGCGATGAGGGGCAGCTCATCCCTGAAGTGGGATTTAAATGATGAGCTGAATCCCAACAGCACTTCTCCAGCACATGGGGACTGTGTCGAAGGAGTATGGTCCGGGGTGTTACGTTTTTGCCAAGGGGGCTTATGTCCGAGGCTCTCGCTCTCGCTCTTTCACACTGCCCACCTTGAACTCAGAGAGCCAGTTTTTCACCAGCGTCTTTTCCTTTTCTTCCATGGCCTGCACACAGCACACACGTACAGCCACATTACCCCAACAGCAGTGGCGGCAGCAGCGGTGGCAAACGCGGCGCCAGGCGGCGCTTCTACTTGGAACTCACGGCGGGTCGCTGTCCCCCGAATAATCTCTTAACTCTCTCAACCAGTTCTGTGGCATAGTCGAACTCAAGACGGAAATGTTCCGTAAAGCTTACAGAACGTAACCTTGTTTTGTTCCCTCCAACATTTAGAAACACGTGCTTCGATTATTTGGCTACGATACATTTCCACACGATAAGCCACTTCGTTGAGCTATCATTTGAAGCCAATAACTCAGTGGGCCTTACCTGGTATAATATAAAAAGTTTCGTTTTGTTTGTGGTTTTTTGTGTGATTTGCTTACTTTTCCCATACTTTACAATGCTATCGTGTTTTGTATTGTTTTTTTGTTTGAACGTTCTGATCCGCCCCTACTGGACATCTTTTGAAAAGGAGCTTGAAAGCCCATCGGATTCCTCCAGTGAGAAATAAATCATCTGCTTCGGACTTCCTGACGGCCTCCACGCAGCAGTAGAATCCTGACGTGAAACCAGTCGGCGGCGGCCTAATCCAACGAGCACAGACGCCTGTATGGATCCACGTCACTGGAATTGGTGAAACGTCCCCATTGTGATGAAACATCGCCTGCGAGTTACTCATTTGGGACCACACAGCAGCAATATCGCCGCCCCCCCCACCCCCTACCGCGAAAACTTGTCAGGACCCTCCAGAAAAAGAGTTGAGACTGAATGCGGATCTCCTGAGTAAACGAACGCAGTACTAATAGTAGACTATGGGGACGTTCATAAATTATGTCACGCACCTGGGGGGAGGGGGGGTCCGACATTTGTGACGATGTGTGACGATGGGGGGGGGGGGGGGGGTGAGAAATGTGACGTCACGTAAAAATGCACAACTTTAAATGAATATATAATTGTTATAACAACACTAATTGTTATAACAACACTCCTACAACATCAGAGTGCAGCGCCACATTAAATACGTACTACAATGACAATAGTTTAAAGCGATTTGAAGCATGTTTTATTTCAAAATGGAACTTTGGTTTTGGGGGGGGGGGCAGAGCTTTGTGACGTCATATTTGAGGGGGGGTCTGACTTTTTGTGACGCCATGTGACGAGGGGGGGGGGGGGGGTCAAAAATCGTCCAAAATCGCGTGACGTCATTTATGGACGGCCCCTAAGCTGCCATTGCAGGCAACAGCCCCGCTTGAGACCAGACAAGCAGCTGGACAGAAATTTGACTTTGCAAGTTCCCGCACCTCCGATTAGCCACGGTTGGCAACATACGCTGTAAAAGAAGTTAAACATACATGCGTACAAAATACTGGGAATGTGAAGAGAGTTATGATGCACAGCTTACTATGATCACACATTGGATAGCAAATCTATTAGAAACGTTCAATGGCAACGTTTAATGCTTCCCCATCTCCGCACGCACGGAAGGTGCCCGAATGCGTTGGTGAGTCTACACGCGCACAGGGAACTGGGCACAGCTGGCGGCCCTTGGCCAGCCGCACTGCGAATCCCGCAGAGCAGAGCAACTTGTGCAGCTGCCCTGCCTGGCACCTCGCTCACGCACGGAAAGGAGAGACCGGGAGAGGAAGCCATGCCCTGAAATACTTCGGATTGAAAGAAGCAACATGAAACCGTTCCCTTTTTTTATTTATATAAAGTGATCACATATAAGAAGAAGAAGCCATGAAAATTAAAAGCTTGCTTAAGTCACAAAATACGTTTCGATTTAAAGCTTTCGTGACTGCAGGGATTCATATTCTTGGTTCTTTCGGTAAAGTCACGTAAAAGGGAAATAATAATAATGAAGACGCTGTCTTTCCAACAGCTCTGTTCTTCACCTGAGGATGGCTGCGTACGTTGTGGCCGAAACGTCGTGAGAATGATAAAATGTTTTATTTTTATTTTCCTTCTACGTAATCACAAAATACGGCTTGGAAATCCATGCGCGGAACTCGTTGGGATGCCCCAGAGTCATCCGGTCACCGAGCCAGGCATGTGGCTTTGTGTTTCCCGGCAACGCCTCACCACCTGCGAGCGGCCCGGCAGAGCCACATGGCGGAGAAGGAGCGCTGCGGTCTCTCAGCTGCTCATGCAGCTGCACAGGACCAGCGGATGCGGCAGCCGCAGCAGCTCAGGAGAAGCGTGCAGCTCACTCTGCGTCACGAGGCTGCGCGAGGCGGGGGGGGTCGTGGTATTCCCAGCGCTGCTCGACTTAATGTGGCCGTAGCTGCGTCGCCTGTGGAGGACTGCCACAGTCCCCGGGACTCTGACCCGCATGAACGCACGGGGCTGGGCACATCGCCCCGTCTGCATTGTTATGGGACAACAATGAGCTCATCATGGCGCTGCACCGAACCGAGGCGGCGTTCCTCAAGCGGGCCCTCGATTGTGGCAACCATCGTAACCGCAGCGGTGCGTGCCACACGGCTAAGCGTACAGCATGGCACAAGCACTCCACGTGGCACGCTGCGCATCTCGCGATTGCTGCGAGGACGAGGTGAACGTGAATGCACGCAGCTCCACGTGGGTTCAGCACGGTTTGGTGTGAAGGACCTGGGAATACCGCACCACCGATTGGCACGCTTGGCTAAGTACGGTGCCAAAAGAAGTTCCACGTACACACGTACCAGGGAGGAATTAAGGCATCCCCACAATTGCACCGTCTAGACTCGAGCTGTACGGCCGTCATTTCAGATTCCCAAGACGTCATTCGAAATCGCCGATACGTTTAACAACACGGTGGTCGCTTCTACGCGACGCAGAGGCGGCGTTGCTACCACGGAGACGCGCTGCACAGCGCGCTGTTTCATCCGCGCCGCAAATTGGACCCTTTGCACACTCCATGATGTAATTTGCTAAAATTGGCCTATTTTCAAATTAGCCACAAATGTCATTAACCGCCCCCATGCGACAAACAGCGCTTTCTCGCGTCTCCAAGGTAAAGGCGTGAAGTTTCTCAACCGGCTCTTACCGGGTCAAGTTGCTCACGCATTACTCTCCGGGCTGGGTACTCCGAAGCTGAGCAAAGCCTTTCCAAATAACAAAAAACGTTCAACAAATCTCGAAAACAAGTCCTTAAAAGGTCTGCGCGCACATGAAGTCGACAGATAAGCGCACGGCAAGGCCGTGTATTTGAAGTGCTACCATGAACGTTACTTGAACAGCGTCTCACACACACACAAACACTTCACGAGCTCAAATTCAAAGTTGGGTCACGCGACCTCAACGTGATTACTGTACTTTGACAAGACGGTGGACTTCTCCGTGCCGGCGTGGCCAGACGAGGGCGGGTGGTTAGTCCTTGACACGCGTCCGCATGGAGCGTCCGTGCCGCGGAGGCTCTGCCTACAACTCGGCAAGCGAGCGGCACCGGGTGCATCGCACTCTCCGTGCAGCCAATTGGAGTGGGCAGCCTGCCTGCCTCCCTGCCTGGCTGCATGCTTGCGCGTGTTCTCAATTGCGCGCGTCCCAAAATAGACACCTCACCGCACGTTCTCCGTCAAGGGGGCGGCATGCTTGGCACGATCGAACGGGCCAGTGTCCGAAACACTCAACTGCGTGGAAAGCGTCTCTCGGTGCAATGTGGCAGCAAGTTGTGGCCTCTGTCTCGTCAGTTTGCTGTGCAAGGAGGAACTGCTCAAACGTTGTGGCCGGACAGGGTTGGGAGCGCGGTCATAACACTTGCCCCGCGGCAAATAGCACCTGGGTTCGATTCCTGAAAAGGGCACCATTTCTGCGTGGAGTCTGTCTGATCTCCCCTCTGCTACAGATTAAAACGTATATATAATGTAACTGGTATTGACCAAAGACATCAATGCTGAAAATGCACCTGCAAATTACTCAATTGGGATTACACACAGCAGAAATATTTCCCCCCCCACTGCAAAAAAAAACTTGCCAGGTCCCTCCTGAAAAAGAGTTTTGAGACTCACAGTAAACTTTTTATTTTCGTAAAGCTATGAGAGGCTTTCCTGGATACATGAGCGTAAGCAAAACAACAAGTAGGCATACTCAGCAGAGGCTGACAGGGAACGACCTCCTCTTTCCCTTGACGTCACCGTGACGCAAGTGTTCGGTGCAAGATTAAGCAGAGACGCCTTTTTAATTGCCTCTCGTTAGAGCCTGTAAACACGCACACCTCGCAGATGGGAACCCTCGCCAGGAGCCGAGTCTTCAGAACATCTGAGATAAGTACATAGAATAAAAATCTTACATTAAACTAAACTACTTTTTATTTTAACAAGTAAGGCCCACTGAGCTATACAGCTCTTTTTCAGGAGCGAACTGGTCACAAATGATAGCTCTACAAAGTGGCTTATCGCATGTAAATGTATTGCAGCCAAATACTCTAAACGCGTGATGTTGTTTCTAAACGTGGAGCGAAAAACCGGAGGACCCAGAAAAAAATCCACGCGGCCACGGGGAGAACAATATAAACTCCAAATATTACAGGCTGTCATGGTCGAGATCAAACCCTCGACCTCCTGTATACCAGGCGATGTAGTTAACCTTGATTTGAAGCTTTCGTGGCTGCAGGAATCCATACTCTTTGGTTCTTTCGGTAAAGTCACGTAGGTAGAAAATAAAATTAATCTCTTTTTGGAAAAAAGAAAGCACTCTTTGGAAGAACATAATCAACCAGGTAGGGTGTTGACTGTTATGTTAGCCGACTCTCTGTGTTATATTGCATTATATTTCTAAGCTTACTAGGTTTGATTTGTCTCATTCATTTGTTACTGATGATGATTGCTTGTGTTGCAATCGAAGCGTCGTATTCTATTATTTAATTGATTCTCTTTCTACGTGACTTTACCGAAGGAACCAAAAAGTAATTCCTGCAGTCACGAAAGCTCCAAAGCGAGTACGAGGTAGTTGACATCTGTCTGCCGGAGGTGGGCGGAGGGTTTCCAACGACTTCAAAACAGAACTGGCACACTTCCTTACA